GTATGCGTCTCTGCAAGATTTGTTTTGTCTTTTCGCTCTAACGTCTATATTTTTTATTAGCTGTCAGCTAATAAACAAATGTTTTTAACTGTGTGTGTGCCAGTGTTCCAGGGTTACATTACAAGTCACCCAATGCCAAAGAAAAATATGTCACAATTTTATTTTCACTCGCAGCTGCATGTCTCAAATCGGCATTGGCCAAAAACGTTTGCATATATACATAATCCACTTACGCTCCTGTGCTTGGTCTCTGCATTGCTGTCCATACTAATTATAAGCACTCTGGTTCACTGTGGTGGCATATCAGGCCAGCTGACTGGGAATTAAGTGGGGGTTCCTGTGGGTATGTCTATGCCCTTTGAGTCGCTAAATCTCTCCTACAACCGCCTCTCCTGCTGCAAACACAGGTCACAGGTTTGCTGGGTCTTATTAAAGCATCGCCACAGGCAATAAAAGAACTCATATTGCCTGATAATGCTCTCCTGGAAAATCCTGGGTCTCCGTGATAGCGGCTTAAGACTACAAAGCAACTTCATTTCTTAGGTTACTTGCTTTGGCAGAAAAGACACTCTTGCCTTTTTTTTTCATTGTTTGTTTTGCTGTGTTGAATAGAGTTTAACACAAAGACGCTTTGCACATCAGGTAAAGTTTGAAGGCAGCCTGAACCATTTACATTAAATTATTTTATTACCTGTTATGAAAAGGGCTTGTTTCCATGTATGTCTAAATGTTTTCTGCTCATTAGCTCACTGTGTAAGTTTTTTTAATACTTGGCACAATAAATACAATTAATTTGAGCTGCTGCTTGCAACACGAGGGATTTTAATTAGCGATGCTTTTATTGCAGTGGGCTTTGCACTTCCACTGTGCAAACTCTATCTCTTTTATGTGCCTCCTGCTTTGTGTCTTGCTAAAGATTTTCAGCTATTAAGCTATATTGCCTGTTTACAATCATGTTTTAAGCAGATAAAACAGGATGGCAATGTTTTCACTTCTTTGCAGTCGGTGGGGACAAAGAGCTGTATCGCTGTTCTGCAGCGATCCATCCACATTGCTCCATCCACCTTCTCTTGCTTATCCAATTTGGGGTCAGGGGGAGGGGCTGGAGCCTATCCCAGCTGTCATAGGGCGAGAGACAGGGCACACCCTGGGTAGGTTGCCAGTCTGTCAGAGGGCCAACGCAGAGAGAGACGACCGCTCACTCTCACATTCACACCTACAGCCAATTTAGAATTGACAGTTAACCAGACCTGTGTGTTTGCATGGGTGTGTGGAAGGAAGCCAGGGTACCTGGAGGGAACCCACACAGACATAGGGAGAACATGCAAATTCCACACAGAAAAGCCCTAAAGTAGATCCGAACCCAGGACCTTCTCGCTGTAGTAACCACTGCACCAGCAACCACCCTCCCATTGCCCCATCTAATGTTAATATGGAGTGAAAAATGCTTCAGTAGTGTAGGGGCTGATCTAAAAAGAAGTCTGCACTCAGCCTGCACTCAGCCTGCAATCACCACCACTGTCTGATCGGAGAGCCGTCCATCACCACCCGCAGCTCTTATTGAACCAGACCCCAGGAGAAGTTAAGACGCTGCCTCCAGCAGCAGCTCAGAGTGGCGGTCTGAGTTATGCCGTCACTGTTATTGCTCCACTGGGATTGCTAACATAGACAACTGACCTGTTCCTTATACTGACAGATTTGGTCTGGTGATTGGCAGGTGCCTGTAGCTGATGTGTTTAGATATTCAACCGTTGCATTGAACTGATCCCGACCACCCCCTACCCCCACCCCCACTCCCGGTGGGCCTGGGGATGTTCAGGTTGATATTGAGCTGCCAGCCGAGTGGCAGCTGGTCCTGACGTGCCTGCTTCACCCTCTAGTCTCTGGAGGCCGCAGCCCAGCCAGCCATTTGTAATTAAAAACGTATAAAGGCAGATCAAGCTCCTTCCTTCTCTCTCCATTTAAAATGCCAGAAGGCTGAAAAGGAATCCACTAGATGCCCAGGACCACCAGCCTCCCTGGAGAGTGCTTTCATTTTTAAAACCTGAAACAAGAATTTCACGATTAGCCCTTAATTGTGTCCCAGGAGAGCAAACATTGAACACAATTTATACATATTCTCTCTTAGAACCATCCACAGTTCTAATATGTGTATGTATATATATACATACACATATATATATATATATATTATGGTACCAAATATTACATTTACGTTGCCAGATCTGACGTGTCCCCTAAAGAATCGTCGCCAACCAACTCGCAAAAACATTTCTGGGTGTTTTGCATTTTAATTTTAATTACAGATTTTTCATTTAGCACTGATTTAAACTTGTGAAAATGGATGGTAAAGCCGAGCTCTAAAAGCTTAAGTGAATAACTTCGAAAAGACAAATCTGTGCAGCAACACGAGTCAGAGATAACTGACATGCTTACCTAAATCTACTGCAGGACCGCATTCAATTCGAAGCATGAACTCGTATTTATGAATTTGTTTTTCCATCTCGGCTGTGTCACTACCAGAGCACTCTACATATCTATCAGGGACTGACAGATAGCCACACCAACCCAGAAAGCCTCGATCTCGAACCCACCATCCATGACCTTCATGGTGCTTTTGCATTTAGGTGGACAGAAGCCATTCTCTGCTTCAAAGGATTTTAAAATTGAGGTCTTCAAAGGTGCAACGTAGACGTCTGAGGCCCAAAGAGACCCTAAAATTTCATCCAGCAGAAATCCCTACCTTCTAATACCCACGTCTTCCCTGTCAGAGTGAAACAGGAGCCCACCGCTATTAGCATAGAGAAAGCTTGGCTGTCTCCAGAGCTGCTATTGTCTGTCTGACTGTGACTATCTCCTCTCATCTACCTGCTGGTTCTCTTCGTCCCTCCACTTGCTGCAGTCACACGCTTTCACTCAACGAGTCAAACTGGCCTCATATACATATTCACCAGGAGCGATGTTATCGTGCGCTCTCATTGCCACAGAGTCATATTTGCCAGTGGCAATGCTTCTATATTTCAGATTTTATTAAGACACTGAGGTGTTATTGATGTGGCAGCTGCTCTCTGGCTCCAGGGCAGTACTGCTACACTCAGTAAGAAGAGTGCTTCTGTTGCCTAAAACAGACACGCACTGCCTTTTTATGTATCTACTACACATTATGTAATACAATACTGTATCACATATGACGGTGCACTTAACACAATTAAAGAAAGTCTTCAAGCAGTTTATAAAATCTCTGAATGAGTTCTACAACACTCTGTAGTAGATCATTTTTACTTATTAGTTGAACCAGTAAGAATGGATCATTTTTTTATGTTGCAGTCTGGCAAACCATAATCTATAGAATAATCTTGAGAAAATAACACCAAGTCCCAGTCATTAAATAGCATCCTCTATGCTGACCACCACATTCCCGAGTGCGTGTACGTGAACGTCATCGTTATTCCTGTGTTTTTCCGTGCAGCTTACAGAACGCTCGTGCAAAGGCGCCCTCCCTTGCCTGTGTCGAAGCCCCTCTGGTCACTTACCATCGCGCAGGGCAGCAGAGTGGAAACACAGCAATCCTGGCACTGCCAATACGCACTCTGAGTTCATTCACCGTAGAGCGCACCAGTCTCCCTGTTCCATCTGTCACTCTTCTCTCGTAATCCTCTGCTCCGGTAAGCGATCGTACTGGAGCAGGAGACGCGTCTTTGCTCAAAACATTGTGAGCACTTGGAAAAAAAACCCACTGCAATAGGTTTGTGTTTATAGTGACTGAAAGGGTAATACCAGTATTTATCAGGCTTGTGGCAGTCATAAGAGTTCTCCAAAGCCTGCAGACAGTCTCTTTAATCTGAGACATTAGAGGCGATTTTCTTGTCTACCCTCTGGTATTTTAGCAGTTTCTTTTCATTGTGTTTATTATTTCTATATGATCATGAGTGTGCATTGTTATGAGTCCAATTTAGCTTTATCTTATTTACTTTTACCAGGTGTGCTTGTCTTTGTGGTGAAGTCGAGCATTTTAACACTGGTGTCTGACTTTCTTGCTTTTCTGGAAACCTCAGATGGCCATTGTAGCCCTGTAGCGTGCCACTTGATTTAGTAGTATTTGTATATTGAACATTCACCATACATGATAATGTCACTATACTGTGTGCAGGCTAAATATAAACTCAAATTTATCATATCATGCTGTTCTTATTTGGGATTTTATTACTCACAGCAGCTAAACCCCCTTTTATGTGGTTTATTTATTTATTTATTTGCAAAGTATAAGGGGACAATAGAGCATTCTGAAGTAATTACACTGACAGCAACAGACATGTAAATCAGACGAGACGCTAACCCACTCAAGTCTGATTGGACTGGAAACATCTCCCCTTGCTTACACCTCTGACATTCTGACATGCATTTGGCCAAATTGTGATGCAGCTTCCCCAAAAACAATGCTTTTCTCACTCCTCCTTGACTCGCGTACTTGTTCTCTCGCCCTGCCATATGTCATAATAGGCTGAGGCAAATCACTTCCAGCTTAGAGCAGATATAGTGATTGTATCAAACTGACCCCTAACAAGCTGTCAGCTCACATTTGATAAAGCATGCATCAGCTCTGGGCAGCCTGGCATCTGTTTGGACAGTCCAGACAGGTCCTACTCAAGCCATGTTATTTCTCTTAGTTGTCTGCCTCTCCGTGTTTTCCCTGACAGTTTGACTTGTTGTCTCATACTAATGATCGAGTGGTTTAGCAGTTTGATAGGGACTCAAGTGCAGTGTTGGACAGTCAGGAGGTGTCTGCTCATTTCATCATGGACAAACAAGCCTCTCCCTCTCTCTTTATTTCTCTCTTTTCTGGTTATTAAGTCGGATCCTGCTGCTGAAATCTTCAGTTCCACAGTTACCACGTAGAGGGAGCCCGTGCGTGTTGAGAAACCGAAGCGTGGAAATGCTGAATGAGTGAGAGTGTGTGTATGAGAGAGGGAGGGAGAGAGAGAGGTGGACGAAATCAAATCGTAGGGGAGTAATAATGTCAAACAAACCAGCAGCAAGATAATCCATTCGGACTGTGCGCCAGGTTTAACAGACTCTCTTTTTGTTTCCGAGCAACTTCGGACAACTCGATGGGAACCGCTGACTGCTCGGAGCTGCGCGACAAGTTGCTGTTGGAGGGGTTTAAAAAGAAGGCTCACTATTTTTAAATGGGTACAGAGAAATTTCGGGGGGCGTGGACGCGAGAGGAGCAGAAGCAGAAGCAGCAGCAGAGCAGCATGTTGGCTCTTGGCTCCAGTTCCAGTGTGGTGATGTGCCGCCTGGAAGAAGAAGAAGTGGTCTGCGCGTAGACGGAGCGGTTGGACGCGGAGCCCTGTGATTGTCAGGCGTCGGCTGCGGACTTTCTGTCATTTTGAAGATCTTTTGGTATTATTTGAATTTCGCTTGCTGCCGTTTTGGCGACAGAAAAGGACTTAAGGGGAAGGAGCAAGAGCTGTTAAAGGCTGCCCCGGCGTAAGGAATGAAATCTGGCCACGCTACTGCTTCAATGACAATTTCTTTTTTTTTTTTAAATATATTTGTTTAATGGAAACGTAATTATTGGTTAAGTGGCTGCACATAGTAAGTCACCGTGGGCTGGTAAAATCGATGATCAAGTAACGTGGCTTGAAAGCTGCCCTCAAGTAATCCCCAAGGGTTCTTCATTTGTAGTTTAAATACTGACAGGTGTTTGTCATTCAGACTGTGTCAGAAAAAGTGTTTTATTCAGTCGTTTTTTTCAGGATTTCATCCACATCAGACTTGGTTATGGTAACCAGACCTTTGGAATGGCTCGTGCACAATTATTTTGATCCAGTTATTTGCGCCTCTCACGCTCAAAGGAAACGCGCGTTATATTTGACCACCTTACAATGCGTTTGAAACGCGGAATGGGAAAGCAACGATCACTTTAGCGTCTTCTAGCTCTTGAGTTGTAGCCAATTTGGCAACAGGCAAAATGACAAGCAACGGACCTGTCATCGTCTACGAGTGGTTGAAGACCCTCCAGCTTTCCCAGTATGTCGAGTCCTTTGTGGATAATGGATATGACGACCTCGAGGTTTGCAAACAAATAGGAGACCCCGACCTGGATGCCATCGGCGTCTATATCCCTCATCACAGGCAGAGGATTCACGATGCTGTGCGGAGGCTGAAGGAGGAAGCCAAAGAGACAGCCAGTGGACTGTATTTCACCCTTGAACCCATGCCACCCGCGGCCGAAATTTATAGCGGGCACCTGGTGGAGTGCGAGTCTAAACTGCGAGGATCCAAGTCTTGGACCGAGCCCATCAGTGACCGGGTTGGGCGAAACGGCGGGTACATCGGGGCGCAGAGGAACCTGACCCTGGGCAACAGGAGGGAGCTGATGATTTACCCCAAGCTCAAGCTGAAGATCATGATCAGGGATAAACTCATCAGAGATGGCATCAACCTCGCCAAGCCGCCGTACTCTAATAAGGTAAGAGGAACCCTGGTGAACTCTGTGACCTCATCAACTTTCATCAGTTAATGAAAGCACAAGATATACAGGCAATCATGCAAACACATACTTTAAATTAACCCGCTTAACAAGCAATTTAGTATGATGGCCACTAAAATATAAGCTTTTTTGTTTTTAGGCCTAAATAAGTCTTATTGAATTTTACTTCACTGCCATTATCAGGTGAAAAATTACAGCAGATTTAAGAAACTGTTCACAACAAGAGTCAAAGAAATCAGTCAAAGCTGAAAGAGTAAAGCTTTTTAAACTAAACATGGAATAAATCCTTTCCGAAAGGGTTGTTTTGTAGTGTGCCTGAGATGCTTGTGGCAAGGAAGGCCTGTCACATGTTCACATCATCCATCATTTGGTTGAAAGATTGCCCTCTGTCAGCTAAAAGGTGTTTAGCATATTTCAGTGACGTGTTCAACGTCATCTAAAGAGCTGAGTCACAGGCAAATGTCAGTGTGATGCCTAAACATTTTCAGGACCATTGCACTTTGCAGAAGTGTGAGTACTTGCTGTCATTGTGAATGATGGGAGTGAAGTTGCTGCGGATCGATAAGAAGAGAGTAGAGCCTGAGGAGCTTTCACCCTGTCTGCGATTCCTTGTGGGGAGGAATTTACACCCTGATTATTAATCCACTCTGACCTCACCTGTCCCCCGACTTGCTTCGGCATTCAGTGTGGGTGGATCAGCCAGACCCATGGGGCTCAGGCCTAGCTCTTTGCCTTGATGAATTGGCGGCAGGCTGTCGATTGCAGGTGCAGTAAATGAAGAGAGCCCAGCTGGGTAGGCTGTTGCTGTCCGGTGAAGAGCCAGACTGAGAGGGCCTCTTGTTTTCACAGGGCTGATAGTGACCTTTCTTCAGAAGTGTTTGAATCATATGCCTTACCAGCTGAGAGGCCTCCACTGAATTACTGCCGTTTGCATAGAGCGGGGCTTTTTGAGAGGAGCACAGCTAAGAACTGACCTGACACTGCACGGGCGTCTTTAGAGGTCTGTTCCGTCGTAACATCAGGCTTGTTAACTTGTCAGCAGAACAGGCAAATCAGATACTCGCTGCTGAACTATTACAACTGAATTATTTATCTTTGTGGTCGCCAGGGACTTCCGCACTTGATTTAGCCACTTTTGAGCCTGTTGATTAAGTATTTTGAGATGTTGAGTGAGCCTGAAGAATTAAGGCAGAAACAAGTGCAATGAGTTTGCTCTGAAAATGTGTGGATTTGTAGTAAGTCTTCATGCTTCTAAGGGCCTCTGTATTTCTAAAAATCCTGGTTATGGCTTGCAAATTTATTTGAGGGTGTGTTCCCAATAACGTTTTTTATTATCTAGTTCCAGTCAGACGGCAAATAATCCTGAAGCTACAGAGTTAATGCAGTTGTGAAAATGTTGATGACTATTTCTGGCTTAACACATGCGTCTACCGTTTATTTTGTAGGATCTAAACTTTGGTATCATGCTCGGTATTCAGTATTTGCTAGCTTCCAAATTGGCTTTTTGTAATTGACAACAGTTTTGTATTTTGCATGCTTTGTAAGCTCATTTTGTCCGTTTAACCATTTTGGCTAACTGCGAATCCCACAGAGATTTGGGATTTGTGAGGGATTAACTGTCAGACTCGGCCTGTAACAAAGTGTCGATTCCAGAGGGTTAAACTATCTTTCCATTTGAAGACTGTATTTATTTAGAGCCGGCGCTCTGGCATTGAAGCTTTTGAGGGGAATGGGCAGGTCAAGGTCTTCCTGCTTCCCTCACTCTTTCTGTGTGTGCGCGTGTGTCTATGTGCATATGTGTAGCCCTGCAGTTTCAAGTTGGCTCCAGCCCAGTTCTTTTTTTTTTTCCCTCCTCCACATTAGGAGTGAGAGGAGTGTGGGACATGGAGCTGTGACCAGCTGATAGAGTTTGACTGACTGAGCTGTGATTGGTCTGTAGATATCTCTCCTCGCCCTGCCCTTGAGATGAGATGTCATCCCCAGTGGAGACTGAGACCAGAGATACAGACATAGGGCAATTACAGGACACACAATGTCAATCTCAAGGGATGGTCATTGTGTAGCATAACCAAGATCTCCATCCACATTTAAACCGTCCTCCGTGCTCTCAGCACTCGGATTTTCACGAACCATGGCCTGTGGGTACTTTGCAAGCAAAACCATAGGCAATATAAGGCACCGAGATTCATAAATCCTCTCTAGTGTGTGCTGAATGTTTTCATGGGAGACAACCCATTATCAAACAATTCACTGTAAGGGCTCTGCTGGGTGTAATAAATACCCGTGATCCTTATCAAGGCCGCGGAGACCTCTTGTCTGAGAGCGAGAATATTATTTCTTATGATGTAAACAAACACTTGTGCCGTCGGTTGCACATTTCTCGATTTCTCATCGGGGAACAAAGCAAGCGACGAAGATGCTGCCGCCGGTTTTCTGGTTGTTGAATGCGCAGCAGTTACGGAGTTAATGTTCATTGTTTTGGTTGAAAGATTGTGAGACGTTGATGGAATAATACAGATTATCATTTCTGATGATCTGACTTGTACGTGTTTAATTGCTGCTTTGTTTTGCTTCCAGTAAGGGGCGCAGCACATGTGGACAGGATACAGGCAGCTGACATGCTTACATCCATACAACTGTAATACCAAAACGGGGGGAGGTTGGGGGGTGGGGGGTGCATTGATGTACAACTGAAGTATTTGAGGACATTTGAAGATTTTGTTTACCTGTTCTTTTTCCTTTTTGCACAAGACAAATAATTGCAGTAAGCAAATACAGTATTTACCTAAATCCCCCCCCCCCATTGTGTCCAGTTGCTCTATTTTCTAATCCAGTTCTTTTAACATAATTTCTTAAATTTCTCAACCATACTGGATGTTTCGGGTTGAAGCGTATGGCGCCTTTTCAGCGAGCAAAATTTTTCAATATTGATGCACTGGCCGCTCGGTGCCAAGTTACGGAGATGTGTTCTCATGCTGATCTCATCCAGAGGCTGCTGCTTTCAGCACCAGCAGACATAGTCAGTCATAATAGCGCCTCTTTGTTAGCGCTGTGTGTCAGGAGGAAGCAGAAGCTAAACACTGGGAGATTCTCCATTGTTTGTATGGAAGCTGATGGAGCCACATGTCCTTTCACTACTGGTCTGTTTTGCATTCCCAATTTCCGTCCATTGAAACAAATCGCGGAGGCAAGTGTCCAGCATTGTGCTGATGGGTGGATGATTTTAAAAAATACAAAAAAAAAAAACAACCTTTGGTATCATTCAGAGAAAGATAGAGTTGTAAATAGATGGGCACATTGTTTTTGAATTCTGGTGAAGGCTTGGTGGGCGTTTTTTGGTCAGGAACGGGCTGTCAAGTTGTGGGGGAAAGTTGGCTCTGTCTGACCCCCACAGAACAGCTGATCACATGTAGCGGGTGCCACAAGTGACAGGCCTGCAGCCTAACTGGCCTTAAGAATGTAAGAGAGGCAGCAGACCATTAGAGGTGTGGGGTGGTGCTAAAGAAAAAAGAGAGATGGCCTTTAAGAGGAAGTTCATCTTACATGACAAACACTCACCTCACTTCCTGTTTCTGTACTCTTATCTCTGTTATTATCCCAACACTCTCACACAGCAGGAAATTTGAGTTCTGTTTAAGGTGACTGCCTGTTGGCCCGCTGTGGCCGTTGATGGCCCTCGGGCTTCACTGGAAAGCTGCCAAGATCTGGTGGGAAGAAAAAAAAAAAACGAAAACAATTTTAATGAATCATCAGCGCTGTCAGATCATATACATTTACCGGCCAACTGCCAAATGCGGTTAAGACACAGAATTTGGCTTGCATAAAAAAAAAAACTGGCACAGATTTCCAGTTAAGCTCCCATGCTATGTAGCTGCTACTCTATCCCATAATGACAAATATGTGCAAGGAAAACTATTGATTTGACATTTTTCCCAAATGAGGACCCTTTTCATCACACAAGTGAATGCTTTTGTAGTTTTTGTATTTTTTTTTTCCCTGCAGAATACTTTCAATCTTTGTTCATCAGGATAAGACGGGCTTTTTCCCGCAATGAAGGAGAAAGCCTCGGGTTTGTCTGTGTTCTGCTGAAAGCACTGTTTGCTCAGTTCTTATTAAAAGCTCCTTAAAGGCATAATCAACCAAAGACTCATAAAGGGGAAGTCATAAAGAAGTCAAGGACCCACTCTATTGTCCTGAGAGGACAGAGAAAGTTAATTAGCAGAGTGAGTTCCTCTTAACATTATATAGCGTGTCAGGGTTATATGATTGCTCACATTCCCAGCAGAGTGAAAGGGACTTATATGCACTCCTATAGTTGCTCCTTTTGTAAACAACTCATGTTTGGAGACCTCTATAAGAGTCTATGTAAAGCTTAAACTGAACGCATCGCTTTCAGTTCCTCTTCAGATCAGTTTGATAAGCAGATTGATGGCCATCACACAGACCTTTTCACCTCACAGTGTGTGCCCTGCTGGATCAAAACACAAAGCTGTCATGTTGATCTCGCCCTAGACGATAAAACAGGCTGCACACCTCGAGTCTTCTTCTGGATCTTGCAGTCGAGTCGTCTTCTTTTTTTCCTCATCTTGTATTTTAGACGGCCTATTGATTCAAGCTCATGCGCTCATCTTCCCATTTGTAAAAACTGCTGTGTGCAATAACTCATGAGAAATTTAGCACATCGTACGGTCTTGCCCTGCCATTCAGCCAAAAGCAATACCTGCAAAAGCAGTTCGGTCCAGTATTTCGAGAAACGTTATCACTGCAAAGAGATTCACTGGATAGGTTTCAACTTTTTGTGCTGTGAGTCAGAGAGCTTCTGTCTGTCCCTCTGTCAGAAATGCTGAACCACCCATCTCCTGGGAGCATGAGCAAATGTGGGAAAGCAGAATTTACACTATATATGCAGCTGGCAGTCTCATTTTAGCAGGAAGGAGCGAGAAGAGCTTGTTCCTACTGCGCTTTTTCTCACACGATCA